AATGCTCACAACCATCCCTAACTTTAGCCCACATGCCTGTAAGTTTCTACTACTCCTTTTTAAAAAAAATTTATTTCCAAATAATCAGAGGTTCACAGGAGGTTGCAAAGAAATGTAAAGTCCTGTGCACTCTTCTCCAACCTCCTCCAATCTTACATAATGATGGTACAACATCAAAATTAAGAAGTTGACATTGCTCTAATCCATAGAACTTATTGGGTTTTACTAGCTATATATGGGGGCGGGCTGTACGGGATGCTATCAGAATTATAGCTTTGTATAACCACAACCACTAGCACAATCAAGATATAGAACTGTACCATCACCACAAGGCTTTCTCGTGCTATGCTTTATAGCCACGTCCATTCCTAACTCCTGGCAACCATTAACCCGTTCTCCGTCCCTATAATTGTTATTTCATAGTGGTATATAAGTGATATCATGCAGTGTCAACTATGGCCCTGGGCTTATTCACCTAGCAAAATTCCCTTGAGACCTAACCAACTCTTTTGCATGTATCAGTTGCTTATTTCTTTTTATCAATAAGCAATATTCCAATGGTATGGATGTACCACTGTTAATTTAACCATTCACTTGTTGAAGTACATCTGAATTGTTTCCAGTTTTGGCTATTACAAATAAAGATGCTATAAATAGCCATGTGCAAGTTTCTACTTGAAAGTAATTTTTCATTTCTCTAAATGCCCAAGAGTACAATTGCTGGATAATATGGTAAGTCCATTTTTCGTTTTGACAGGACTTGCTGAACTCTTGGTGGTTATATCATTTCACATTCCCACCCACAAAGTATGTGTGATGTAGTCTCTCCACATCCTCACCAGCAGTTGATTTTATCACTTTTTTTATTTTAACCATTTGGTAGTTCTTTGTGGTCCTTCTCATCTTTTAAGACCAAGTCAAGAATTAAGTCTATTGATTTAATGGTTAGATGCAAATGGAGAGGCTAGTACCCCTAGCATGTTAGGTTGCACCAGGTATGTCTGTCCAGAGGCACACACCACAAAACCCAAGATATCAGCATGCCAAGTCAAGACTGGACACTGGTAACAGTATGACTAAATACACTGAGCAGCCTGAAAAGATGAAAAAATATATAGATACAAAAATGATGAGCTGTATAAGAGACTAAAGGTTACCACTTATGCCCAGCTGGTCTTCCCAGTTGCTTCCCTGTCTGATTCAACATGGGAAGTGACAGCCCAGGAGAGTCAAAGCCTAGAAGACAAGGATTCCATGACTTCAAACCCTGATGCAGACATTGCTGCCAAGGCCAACAGGAAAGGGAGCCTGGGGACAGTGGGGGATCCAGTCACTGGACTCCAGCCCCTCAGCAGCGGTGTTGGGGAACTGGACCTAGACACAAGGCTAGTGAAGAAGGCAGAGGCCAACACAAAAGACAAACCTTATCTTGCCAGCCCCTTCCTGCTAGATGTTGGAGATTTTAAGTTAGAGATTCTTACCAGCAGTGCCACATTTATGGATCTTAAGTCTACCCAAATGCAACTCTGTCTAGAACGATGGACTCTTATTCAAATGATATTCTTTTATTTTTTTCCACACCTGCCCTTTTTTATTGACTGATCTAGCAGGCTGCTCCAAGCCCTTCCCGCTTCTGAGACACCATCCTCCGGGTATAGTAAGGCACCATTATTCTGTGAAGACCCAGAGCTTCCTCTCTGCTGCCCCAAGTTTCGGAGGCCCACGTTGAATCACCAACCAGAAGGGTGGGGGAGGGAAAGGAAACACAGGCCGGAAAGGCAATACTTCAAGGAAGGCGTGCAGAATCCCAAGGAAAGGTAGCAGGGGCTGGACGAAGTAGGAGGTCTGTGTGCTGAGCAGCTCCTGTCTATAGGGCCGCTTTGAGGAGGCACCTCATGTGGGGCTCCATGGTGATGGTGGGGAAGGGGCGACTGCAGCGCGGAGAGGCCCCCCTCTGGCCGGATAAGGAACTTCTCAAAGTTCCGAGCGACAGGTGAGCGGCGCACTGGGCTCCAAATGATGAACTTGGGGTCAATCTTGAGGGAAAATGGGTCATCATGTGGGAAGGAGAGCTTGTCCTTCAGGTAGGGAAAGACCGGTGCTCGTTCTCACCATTCACCTCACACTTCTGGAGAAGGGTAAATGTGGGCCGGAATCCACCCTGGGGCTGACATACTTCAGACAATTCATGAGCTCATTCTGACAGTTCTCCTGGTGTCCAACTTTGTTGCAAGGGAAGCCAAGGCGCCTGGGGAAGCGACACTGCAGCTCGCTAAGCTGGGTGTAGTGGTGGCGGTGGCCATTGCCTGTGCCTCGGAGGGAGGCTGCATTCGCTGTCAGCACTGCCCTGCCTCGGAATGTCTTGCTATCTACCTTCTACCCCTGCAGGCTGATAGCACTGGGGTCGTAGAAGGACTTCTCAATGTGAGCCATGGTGAAAGAGCAGTGAGCCTCAAACGCTATTCTTGAATATAAAAATGCCCACGGAGAGATCATTCTGGGTGACGACGACAAGAGGTTGGCCAGCTGGGCAGCCACCACCATGTGCAAGCCGAGATTGGAAAACCTCTTCATGCTCTGCAGAAGTGTAAAAGTCTTAGCTCAGAAATTTCAAAAAGGACCATTTGTTTACGGGTTCCCTGCCAGCATCTTTCAAGCCGGCCCTTCTTCCTTCTGGTTCTTCCCGGAAACAACCCGGCCCCAAAGTGCCACGCCCACCAACCAAGAATAAATGGATATTTACCCAGGAAGACTTAAAAAAAAATAGAATATTTCTCAGAAGAGGATCGAGGTCCTGTAGACAATCCTAGCCCACGGAGGCAAGCTAATGCTTCTGGAAGAGACTCCAAGGCTCCAGGTGCCCACAGCTCAGAGCCTGCATGCTGGGGACCCTCCTGGTCCCCCAACAACACCCCCTCGCTGGGCAGTGGCCACCTGCAAGGCAAACCCAGGAAGTGAAGACTGTCTTAGTCCAATAAATGTTTTCTCTCCTTTTGAAAAAAATCTTTATTGATGTAGACATTTGGATTCAAATGCTGCCACTGGTAAATCACCTTTCTTCATTTGCGCACTTGAAAGTTGTGATGAGCTGTGAACAGGTGGCTCCTCTTTTCAACATTTACCTAGGTTTTGCCACATGCTGAAAATTTCACAGCCCATACCTGCAATAGAACAAAGGTCAAATCTGACACACAACTTCAGGATAAAGAAGTATTTGTGTCTTTCTGATACAATCTAAGAAAAAACCAAGTTAGCCTCTGTAGAACCTTTTCTAAAAACCTCTGGGAAAGTTGATTACTCCCTCCTCTGTGCCATCTCTGATACTTAATTTATCGATGTATTTTAAGTATTTATTTACATAGTATGAGTCTTCCCCTTGTTCTGAGCTACATGGAGATAAGAGCTGTGCCATATTCATCTTTGTTCCTGCAGCATCTGGTGAGGTATGTGCTGGCCACACAGCAGGCACCAGTAAATGTATGCCAAGTGAGGGAAAGAATAAATGAGAAAGTGTCTTGCTTGCCTCCCCCACCCCCCATTCAGCTATGAACCCTTTTAGAACAAAGATCATGTCTTCCTCTGTGTCTCCCAGTGGCAGCTAATAGGGTGCTCTGTACGTGTAGATGCTCAATAAATGTCGGCGAACTATTCAGGTGACTTATCTTCCCTCTGCACCCAGGAGATAAGCGCATGAAAGAGAAAACAGGCCTGAGTATTTCTGTATGAAGGATCATATGTCATAAATTTTATAATATTCTTATAATCTCCACAATCACTCAATATTTGTCTGTTAGATGAGAAATCAAAACAAAACCATCTTTTGAGTCAAAAAAGGCCTCTGCAGCTGAGCACTTTTCAATAGTTTCAATACCCTGGTTATATATGAATTTGTGACGACCGCATTTTCTATCCGTCCCTGAATTCTTTTTGCAATTTCAGAGGCATCTGGGAATTTTCTGTTTTTGCTGCACTGGTATAATTTGACATGTTGATTATGAAGGGGTCATTAACCCCAACATTTTTTATCACTTTTTGACTCTGCATTTTCTCAACTCTGAAGTATGTTAATTTGTGCTTGTTTATACATCTCTGTAAGAGTTACTCAGACCCTTGAGGGCTGGTATATGTTTTGTCTGGGAACAAGATTGTAAGCCCCTTGAGAGCAGGGACCTTATAACTCCTAGGAATGCATTCTGGACATTGTCAGTGTTCAATTAATGATAATACTGAAAGTCTTAACTAACGTCCTCTGTCACACTGACAACTTCCTTTTTGTCTGTAAGGCTTCCAACTGTCGAAAAAAGCTGTCAGGTTGATTTGATATCATTGAGTGATTCCACCCAAAGTTATGCTCCTAGTAATATCCAACTACAATTTCTTCTTTATGGTACTTTCAAATGTATAATTTTGGATGGGTTGTTAAGTTCCCATAACTCCTTGGTTACATATGAATTGGGGAAGCCTGCATTTTAGAACCCAGAAGTCCTTTAGCATAATAAAAAGTAAGCTGATGACATCTATGCAAGCATGTAATTCTCTTGACCAGCCCCCACTGATAACTAGGTGATAAACTCCAAGTATGTTCATGGTGTTAAATTATCAAAATAATCCTTAATAACTATTTAGTGTATGTGTCTTATATCCCTAGATCATAAAATGGAGTAAATAGATAAACTATGCCTGTGACTATTGAGGTTAAATTAATATGCATGATCAAAGGAAATCTAAGTCCTAAAACTGGGCAGTTTTGATCCTTGGTGAGGTTGGAGGTGGGGGAATGGTTTTTGTAAATCAGGTTTATTGAGAAATGATTTGTAAACAAACTGATTTACCCTTTATTAGAAAGTCTGATGAGTCTGGCGGGTTGGGTTTTTGTTTTGGTTTTTTGTCCATCATTGTTTGCTGGTTTAACTAAACCTCCAACTGGCTTTACCACCACCAGCCTAGACCAAATTGACCTGTCTTTTTCTGTCCTTTGGTATCCTTTCTCTTTTTTGCAGTGTGCTGAAGGAGGTATACATAGCCTTTAACCCCAAAGCAGTGGTCTTGCAGCTGGGAGCTGATACAATAGCTGGGGATCCCATGTGCTCCTTTAACATGACTCCAGTGGGAATTGGCAAGTGTCTTAAATACATCCTTCAGTGGCAATTGGCAACGCTCATTTTGGGAGGAGGTGAGTACAAAGGAAGGTCACTAAGAGAATTTGTTGACCTTCCTGCCTGTTTTGTCTATTGACACTGAGGACAATTTGACTTTCTTAGATTAGATCTTACCAACATATACCTGAGTCAATGAAATCGGTGTAAGGAACTACTCTGACTCCCCTCCTGCTTGGCATGCAAATTGACTCCTTGCTGCTCTGAGTCTTTCAAGGTTTCAATTCCTGAAGCATAGTTTCTTTGTTAAAAGAGACATCAGATCTCATTAAGAATAGAGAAAGTTTATTCAATAAATGGTGCTGGGAAAACTGGGTCGCTACATGCAAAATAATGAAGCTTGACCACTACCTCACACCATACACAAAAATCTACTCAAAATGGATTAAAGAACTAGACATAAGACCTGAAACCATAAAATACATAGAAGGAAATATAGGTGAAACACTACGTGATTTGCACATCAAAGACATCTTTACAGACACTTCACCCAAAGCAGTGATAGCGAAGGCAAAGATAAACAGCTGGGACTACATCAAATTAAAGAGCTTCTGTACAGCAAAAGAGACAATAACAAAAACAAAGAGAAACCCCACCAACTGGGAGAACATTTTTTGCACACAACACTAATGATAAAGGACTGATCACAAAAATCTGCAAAGAGCTGATGAGACTCAGCAACGACAAAGAAAATAATCCAGTCAAAAAATGGGCAGAAGAGCTAAAAAGAAACTTCTCTGAAGAGGAAATGCAAATGGCCAACAGGCATATGAAAAAATGTTCAACATCACTTGTCATCAGGGAAATGCAAATCAAAACTACCATGAGATACCATCTTACACCAGTGAGAATGGCACATATTAAAAAAACTAGCAACAACAAATGTTGGCGAGGGTGTGGAGAAAAAGGAACTCTTCTGCACTGCTGGTGGAAGTACAAACTGGTCCAACCACTATGGAGAGCTGTGTGGAGATTTCTGGACCTACTAAACATAGAGCTTCCATATGATCCAGCAATTCCACTCCTAGGTCTTTACCCAAAGGACACAGAAATATCCATTCCAAAGAGCACCTGCACCCCTATGTTTATAGCAGCACTATTTACAATAGCTAAGCTTTGGAAACAGCCCAAATGCCCAAAAATAGATGACTGGATCAAGAAGATGTGGTACATATATATACCATGGAATATTACTCAGCATTCAAAAAAGATAAACACATGCAATTTGCAGCAACATGGATGGCGCTGGAAGGGATCATGCTCAGCGAAATAAGCCAAAAAGAAAAAGAAAAATACCGGATGGTCTCACTCATAGCAGGAATCTAGAAAACTTAAATAAGGGACCAGGAAAATGAATAACTATAAGAAAGTGAAAATCAAAATCAACAAAAAACTATGAACCAGAGACACTTTTTGGAGGGTGAGGGGCGGGAGGGGAGGGATTGGGGTCAGAATGGGGAGGCTGCAATTGTATGGGAAATATAAAAATAAAATTTATTATTTTAAAAAAAAAAAAGAATAGAGGATGTTAATCCCGGGAGACTTTGATCCATCTTCTCTCAAAGTAATCTTTAATTCTCAATTCTAATAATCATCTTTTGGAAACATACTACTAAAATCTTAACCCTGCTCATATATTAGTAGCAAACACATGAATTAGTTAAATATTGAGGCTGAATTCAAAAGTGACTTCTCCTCCATCCATAAACGCATGGAGTTGTGATCACAAAGCAAAATTGAAAGATCTTCAGCGCCTCTTAGGCATCCTGGCTTTCAGTATGTTCTGATGTTTTGTATTACTTCACCAACAGCAAGTTCAATAGAAGCATTTACACATTTGTGAAAGAGGTCTTTTCCAACCTCAACTACCTTTGACGATGCCTTGCCTGGAATCATCTGTCTATTTACCTGGCACAATCTATATTTCACTGGATGAATGGACTGTATGTTAAAATCACCTGGTCAAGCAGATTAAGCTTAAAATATTTGTATTATGGAATAACTATAGTTTGTTGTTTTGTTAACCTGTTGTGAAAAGCAAATTGAAAGAGACCTTGGGGATGTCCTATGAAGATGAGTGCATGTTCAGCACAAACACGCAAGCCTGGGCCTTAGGCAGCTTCAAATAATATAGGGACCAAAATTAAAGGTGGTTACTAGAAACAACCTTTTATGAAAAGCTGGTAAGAAACTTCAAGCCAGGGAAAAGAAAAAATTGATGACATGTTACTTTCCTTGACAGTACTAAGGATGGTAATTATGATATTGTTAGGGCCAAGAGGAAGGAAAAAGAGACCTTTCCACAACATATATCTGTTTGAATTTGACTTTTGTTTAAGGCTATTGTCTTTACTTAGCATTCTGAAAACCTCATTGCTTTTGTCAGTCCTAAATTTTGGCTTCTGAATATTTAAGAGTAACTCTTCTTATGCAATATGTACATTCCTGAAAAGGCCTATGCATGAGCAGAATTTCTGCAGATCCTATCATATTGTATGTGCACCAGAGAGAGCTTACTACTTAAACAAAACCTATAGTGGTTCTTCCTGAAATTAAATAATTACACCCAATAAGTCAATTTTATAAATTCAGATTTTCCACATCATCAGTGTTTAAAGTAATATCAGTATTATTTCACTTAAATTCCTAACCCCAAATAACACATAGACAATGAGTGGAGATGGCCACATCCCCAAGTTTCAGTAGAATCCATTGAGTCCTAAAAGATACATTAGAGAAACTTCAGCATCCCTGACCTTTCAAGGAGTTGAAAGCCTCAAGAAAAGAGTGACCACGTGTCCCAATTTATACATGTTATCCCAGTGTAATTAATAGTGTCCCCACTTACTCATAAGTATACCATTTTGGACAATGAATTACATGGTCACCTGCCTAAAATAAGCTAGATTCTATTTTCTTCGGGCTACACTGAGGTTAAGAAATCATTCCATTTTATCCCTGTGCTCTTGGAATTTAGCTAAAGGCCAATGTTCTGATGCTTGCATGGCAGAACACATCTATTCAGCACAAAAATATGCTGATTATTAGCCAGTATAATATGGCTGCTGGGTGACTGTGACAGGACCCGATGAAATGGGTCAGAGAGTCAGTCAACGATTCCTTCCTCATCTCATTCTCTTTGATCTCTGCCAGTAGGCCTGTGTTTTTGTGGAGAGAAGGAATGCTGATATTGAAAGAAGGAAATCTGTTTTTGTCAGCATTTTCCTTTTCTCTTTCCTGGATGTTTCTAGGGCTATATCTGCCAATAGCTTTAGCATACAAATCACATCCAGCAGTCAATTTGTTGAATTGTTGCAAAATTCATCACAGAGTCCTTGACATTGGATATGTCACCTTAAGTTCCGGGAATCTCAAACTGGCCTATGGCTCTCGATGGAATTGAGGAATTTGGAGTCCTCGGGTGCATATTTGTTTAGAAGTGAGGGCCTCTTTAATCTTCGTAGGTCTTGGACGTCCCAGTTCCACACAGCTTTGTTGATTGACTGGTCCACTAAGGTCTGCCTACTAGATGGTTTTAAAGTATCAGAGAAGGCTGTTTGGATAAAATTCTGCAAGTTGAAGTTGTCTTTTTAGCTGTTTTATTAAAACATTTTTTTTCTCCTTTCTTACCCACTCCCTTCCCTCTCCTGCTGTTTTGTGACTATTCTCTCCTAACTTCACAATTCTTGATGGAGACAGGAGGCTATAACCTTGCCAACACAGCTCGATGCTGGACATACTTGACCGGGGTCATCCTAGGGAAAACACTATCCTCTGAGATCCCAGATCATGAGGTAAGTAAGGCTCTGACAAGTCCTCTCTTCTTTAAGGGGAAGAGCTGAGTCATTCCACCTAATCAAAATCATGTCCTCACCACTCAATACCGTTTTGTTGAGAGACACTCCAATAACAATAACACACTGTCTTGGCAGAATAGTGGACTCTTGTTCCAAAATATCCAAGACCTTCTGCCTTTTTTTACAAGTGATCTCAAAGGCCAACCAACTTCAATTTCTCAATTAATTACAGAGACTGTGGGAAGGGGTCACCTGTTCACACAAAGAACTCTTTCGAATATGTGTGTATTTCCATCCCCTAGCCTCAATAAAGAAGGGGCAATTTTTTAAATGTATAAACCGGTTTCTCTATCTATCTTTAAAAGGCCCCAGAGGCGGTCTGTCACACCTGTATTCTTTGGTGGTAGTTCTGGTCTCTTAGTTTTCTTTGACTAATGTAAAATCTGAGAAACACATAATCACCACAAAAACAGGTCTGGTATTTATCCAGTGATTAGTAGCACACAGAGGTTGGGCTAGGACCATCCAAAATACAAAACAATCATTTGAGCCCTTGCTATTTCCTTTAGCTGTATGAGATGGGCTCTCTGTTTTATGAAGCAAAGATATGTGTTCTAGCTTTCCCAAAACACATGAGTGCGCATATAATCCCTTATTGGAAGGTGGACCCTTTCTTTTCCCACCTACCCCAACACCTAGCAGGAAGCATGTTCCCAAAGATCAGGATGTGAAGCTATAGGCCTCAGACTGTGGCTCATATAGTGAACGAATACATGCAGCCCCACCTTTGCAAGCACTTCCCGAGGAGTAGAGATGGTACTTTGTTAATAATGTTTTGATTCCTGCCAGATGCAGGAGCAGTACACTTGGGAGCACTGTGCTTTTTAAAGTTACTATTATTTTTTAAAAATTAGAAACAACTTAAACTAATTTCCTTCCAATTTTCTCCCAACCACAGATGAGGTATAATATGTAATTCAGAAAAACCATTCATTGTGCCTAAAATACAAATAGAAGGAACGCTGTAATTTGAGACAATTTGCTGGTGTCAGGGTTAATAGAAGTCTCTTTTCTTGACTTACCTTTATTCAGTATTTGGAAGCTTTATGAAGTATAAAGGTAAGCGAACAAATTACATTTTTTCACAAATGTGATTGTTTTTATTGCTGTGGGAATATCTCAGATTGCTTTGTAATTTACAGCACTGAGACTTTAAAAACTGATCAAGTTATGTCAAAAAAGGGTTGTAAGATGTGGAGGTCTGAATTGAGAATGAGTGTTCTGTTCCTAGGAAACAATGTATATCCATAGATTCAACTGTATTAAAAGTCTGATAAAAAATTAATAGAGATGAATACTGCCTTTGGTACCTGGAGTAGCTGTGCATCCGAATGGATATGTGGGCTGGGTCTTATAGTTAGACACATCCTGTCTTTATACTAACATATCCTGCCAGATACATGAGATATAATGTATGTCAAGTGCCTAACACACAGTTCTTGGCACATTATAGGCACTTCTGAAATGCAAGTTCTGTCCTTCTGCTTCGCATGCTCCTAACAACTTCTTATACCCAGACATTTATGACTTTGTCATTCATAAATTTGTCCAAACCTTTTTTGAATCCCTTCTGTCATATCCTTCTGGTATGAGATCTGAGTCATCCAAGAAGGAACAAAGAAGAAAATTGAAATGACAGCCTTCCAGGTACAATAAGATAACATTTTAATGAAAATTGCCAAAAATAGACTACGCAGTGTGAAGGCATATATAAAGTTTTTGCCACAATACATAGTTGCACACAAATATCCTTGTGGTCCTTTATAATCAGATAAACAAATGGTAGATCAAAAAAAAATACTTGCTGAACACCCATTGTGTGCCAGGCTCTAATGCTGGGTGTTGTGTAAGATCTGAAGACATTAAGACCACACCCCCTACTCGGGCAGCCTGGGAGGGAGGGTAGTATAAGCGCTGGGGAGATATATAGATACACAAATAATCATAGCACAGAGTAGAATAAGAACCAAAAGGTGTGGAAATGTGCAGCAAATGTAAAAATGGTCCAAAGGAATATACAAAATATTTTCAGAAATGTAGTCAATGAAAGGTCAAGACTGTGCCACAGTCAATCGCAGTCTGGCTGACCCCTACACTTGCCTTCACTCTCAGGCTTGGGCTTTTGTGCTTCTGTCTCCTAGGTTTACTCCACCCTCCAAATGCCCTCTTTATTGTCTTTCTAGATGCAAGTTCAAACCCTGTACCTTTAAAAATCCCTTTCCTAAATATATCAAGGTCCTTTGAGCTCTTCCTTCACATTCACTTTTGCCTTCCTTCATTTAACAAGTATTCATTGGGCTCCTACTACTTACTGGGTTATGTTAAGACCTTAATTCAAGGGTACAAAGACAAGACAAACCCGGTGTCCTCACAAATCTCATTGTGTAGTAAAGGCAACTGAACAGTGTGTACAAATCTAAGAGATGAGCAGAGAGGAAATGTTTCACCAAGACTCGGAACTGAATTTTGAAGGTTGATTTGGGAGTTCGCCAGATGAAGAAGGAAAAGCAATTTAGGCTGAGGAAATAGAGATTGGAAAGGACCTGGTACCTCATGGAAGAAATGAGAAGTTCAACATGTGTAGGACATAGGGTTTGTGAGAGATGTGGAAAGGATTAAGGCTTTTATGGAAATTGGAGCCAGATTATGAAGAGTCTTGAATGCTGTGCCAAAGAGCTGATGCTTTTTTTCTGTGAAAACAAATGAGCTTTGGTTTTTAGAAAGCTCACCTGCTAGGGCATGGAAGATTGCAACAGGCAGAACTGTTAAGAGGTTCAAATACACTCCTATAACACTTATAGTCTGTACCATTCATTTGATCATCTGTGTTTTCGTTGTCTCCATTCCCCCTCAGAGTTTTAGCAGAGTGTTAACCACCCACCTAGTTGGTCTTCATTCATTGAATGAACAACTGAATAAATGAGTGTTTGAGTAGTAAGTGTCTCAACATTTACGTTGGAAAACTTCTATTTTTAAGATGGAAGAATTGGAAGCATTAATCTAACCTTTTTCTGGAAGCAGTTTAACCTCAGTGCCAACTACCCATTCTTTGCAAGGGGTATCCCAGCTGAAGGAAATGGATGTGTCCAGGAGAGAACACCAGATTGCCTATAAAGGGAAGGGAGTTGAGAAAGTTAAGACCAGAAAGTATTAGAAGTGATTAGAGTGGTGAGATTTCAATCAAGCGCTCAGGAGCTACAAAACCAGTATTGCCATAAAGTCAGTGAATGTGGAGTTAGTGCCAACACAATAATTGGGGATCCAAATTGGTCGGCCAAGCATGGAATAAGGAGGCAATCCTAGCAGCTCTCCTGGCTGCCTGTGCCTATGCAGGTGCCTCTCTTTTTCTTTCTCCTTTTCCTAATAAACCTGCCCTTTTAAAATGTTTAAAAAAAAAAAAAAGAAAGAAAAGGAGGCAATCCCAGCTGGAGAAAGAGAAGGACCCAGGTGGGAAAGCTGAGAGCATTGGACTGGTCCATATGACTGGCCCAGATAGCTCTATTTTAGGGAAAGTCCAAAGGTGGTATGGAATCCTATAAAAAAACCAATTTGCCTAATTTAGCAAATTATCCATACCATGTAATAAGGTTTATAAATCCAGTAATACTGCTTGGATCCAATGATTTAGGATAGAGTAAGGCATGCATAGCATGTACACTTATGTACATATACATATGCATATACCCAAATCACCAGGTAGATTTATCAGCAAAATTTAGTGAACAAAAAATATTTACTTAACCAGACTGCTTTTGATACACTGGCTGGATAAACTGTGCCTCATTCATATGAGAGAATATAGGTAGCCATTGAAAAAATTGAGTAGGTTTATATATCAGTATATGTTACTGATGTAAAATAGTCTTTTGGGGCAATCTATAGATTGATGTGGGGCGAAATAACATCCTAGTATTTCATCTTTCAGTGCACAAACTTGCTCTATCTTTCCATTTACTTATGTCTTTTAATTTTCCATTGTAATTTATACTTTTCATTGAGTAGGTATTACACAAATTTTATTGAATTTACCCCTAAGTGTATCAAGATTTTGATGTCATAAATGATGTTTTTTATTTTAATTTCTCATTATTTGTTGCTGCAAAATAGAAATGCAATTGATTTTTATATTCATCTTGAATAATTTAACAGCACTAAAATCATTAACTCTGGTAACTTTTTTGTAGATTCCTCAGCATGTCCATGTCTGCAAACATGTCCACCTGTGAATCAAGAGCTTTACTTATTCCTTTATAATCTTCATGCCTTTCATTTCTTTTCCTTCCCTTGTTACATGGGTTGGGACCTCCAATGCAATGCTGAATAGAAGTGGTGAGAGTGAACATCCTTATCTTGTTCCCAATCACGGGGAAAAGCACTTAATCTTTCACTACGAAGTGTGATATTTTTATGTGTCTTTATTAGATTGTAGAAGTCCCTTTCTAGTCCTAATTTACTGATAATTTTTCTCACAAGTGACTGAAGTTAGTCAAATGCTTTTTCTTCATCTATTTAAATGATCACATGATGTCCTCTTACTGTGTTAGTACAGCAAGTTGCATTGATTGTTGCTTTTTAAAAAATATTACACTAACTTTGCATTGCTGAAATAAACCCTGTTTGGTCATGTTATATTATCATTTTTATATATTGCTTAGTTTGCTGAAATTTTGTCAATGATTTTTGTGTCTGTCTTGATGAGGGATGTTGACCTGATGTTTTCTTTTCTTGTAATGTCTTTGCCTGGTTTTCATATGAGGGAAATGCTGACCAAAAATTACTTGGAAAATATCTCTGTCTCCACTGTTTTCTGAAAGAGTTTATGTAGAATTGATATTATGTCTTACCTAAATGATTGCTCGAATTCACTCGTGAAAACATTTGAACCTGGAATTATCATTTTGGGAAGGTATTTAATTATTGATTTAATTACCTTCAGA